CGGAGGCTGAGTACAGGGCTATGTCAGATGTTGCGTCGGAACTGGTTTGGCTACGCCGGTTGTTAGTTGATCTGGGCATCACTTGTTCTCTGCCCATGGATCTCTTTGTTGATAATACGAGTGCGATCCGTATTGCTGTTAATCCGGTTCTTCATGATCGCACAAAGCATATCGAGATCCATGTTCATTATGTTCGTGATCTGGTTGGCGCTGGCACTATCACTTTACATCATGTCGCAGCGAGGATCAGGTTGCTGATCTGTTCACCAAGGCCTTCTCTACGAGTCGTCACTGGTACCTGTCGAACAAATTGATGCTTTCTGATCAGCATCAATTTGGGGGAGGCTGTTAGCAGGGTCAAAGCCCATTTAATTACCTGTTAATTACGTAGCCCATGTAACTTGTAGTTGGACTAGTCTCTTGGACAACGAACCCATGCAGCCCATGCTGGCGGACGTGGGTAGATGCTTAGGGTTTGGGGATTTGCCCTCTTAAGGGTTGTATATATGTAGTTAGCGGCAGTAGGTTGAGGACACACAACTCATACACATAATCTCGTTAGCAGCTGAAGAGTTTTACCTCTTCCGTGGATTAGTCCTGGATTCTCCAGGGATACCACGTAAATCTTGGTGTTCGTGTTCTTTCAATTTCGTTATTTCCGATTGATTGTCACTTCCAACCACCCATGTTACCATTCCCATCCAAAAATATTATCGCATCTCCTCCCAAAGCCCCTCTGCTTCTTCAATTGATTTTGCGGACTAGGCAAGATAACGTCTAACCTAGATCCAAGAGTCTCGTTCAAGCCACATCTTCCCCAACCTTTAATTCTTCTTTTTCTTTCGTGGAGAAGAAATGGGAGACGAAGGGATGGCCCCATCTTCGCCGTCCTCTGCTTCTTCTATTGATTTCTCAGAGAGGACATTGGAGAGGCCGAGAGGGATCGCCCCGGAGAAGAGATAAATGACACAAAAAGAAAAAAAAAATAGAGAAGGCACAAAATTTATACGAATTGAGTCCAACGACTGTAATTGGCTGGACCACTAATTGTTTATGACTACTTGGCCAGCGGCCAGCCCAAAGCATAGTACATTGTCATACGCTAAAATACCCCGCAGCTTATTCTTAAGCCTTTATGAACAATAGCATCGATTTTTTCTTAATGAGCAGTGCCATATTTTTTGGGTACTTGCGGCTTAATAATTCATTTTTATTTTTCCCAATGTTCACGAAGTGACATATATCACATTTGTGTAAAGTGAAAATATATATAATTAAACTTTATCAAGCAAATTTTCTACTGATTTAATAAAACATAGTAATAAGTTATATTTTGATGAAAATTTTAAATAGGCACACATAAATAATAATATTTTTGTCAATTAAAAAAAATTGAAGATTGAAAAAGAGAGTGACATATATCACTTTATTTAAATCGAAAATATCCAATCAAATCTTTTCAAGTAAATTTTCTATTCATTTTTACTAAAACCTAATAGTAAGTTAAATTTTGATTAAAAATTAAGCAAACACACATAACTAATCATACTTTTGTTTGATGAAATAATATATAACAGTAGAAAGAAAGAAAAATGAATGTTTGACAATCAATCGGCTTTGAAAATTAAACTATATGAATTTATATTTTTCCTAATTCTTTGTAGCCCCCACATCCACTACTCCGACGACACCTATGTTCCCCTCATCGCCGCCATCGACAACAAAAGTTGCATTCAGCCTCGCCCCACAACCAGATTCATCTGGATTTGGAGATTGAGAGCGACCAATCCGAAAATCCCCTCCCTCCCACCACACTTCGTCTCCATTCCTATAGATCCTCCATCCAGACCCGCCTCCCGTCTCTCGAAGAATCCTGAAGCCACCAGTGTCTTCTTTTTTCCCTTCCCCCAAGCTCCTAAGGCGTTTTGGCAAAGAAAGCCACAAAACCCTCAATGTCTTTTTTTCTCCCTTCAGATCTACCTTCTATCTCGCAACAAGGGAGTTGATGTTCGCTCCTCACCCTACCATTATGTTTGGGAAGAGGTGCAAATGAGAGGAGGGTACAAGGTTGGGGGTAAACACAAGTTTCAAGGTGTTTACCTCTGCTTGGTTGTTTTGTAACAGTAGGGGGTGCAAAACATGAGTGCAAATTCACTATTTCGGCTTACTCTCCGAATCGGGGTGCAAGGGAAGGAAGGAAGGAAGGGAGGTGGAGGGAGGAAATTATAGATTATTTTAATTATATTATAATTACATAATAATTAATATTATTAACTTTTTCTTATATCTATCATTAATGTAGACATTGTTCGGGGTTGACCGTTTGACTTCGATAGCAAATTTGTCAATGTTCGTCTAGTCAAATCGTATCTTTTGGTTGACTCGAATTTGTATTGAAAATTAGAAATAAGATAATAAGCATTTGTGGAAAAGATAGAGATGACCGGTTTAGTTGACTCAGTTTACTTGACTAAATAGTTAAAACTTACATATTTGAACGTGTTTGACTAAGTTTGACATATTCAATTTAAAGTTAGGCACGAGAACCCTCTTAGGATGACCAGTTACGAGTTGGGTTTCCATTTTCGAGGTCGTTTGACCAATGATTATTAGTGTTGTTATAATTAATTATTATTTGAGCATTATTATATAATATTTATTATTATTATAATATTTTTTAATATAATATAATTATTAAGATTTATTATTATATATTAATTTTCATTTATACTATTTTGTGATAATGTTTTAAAAATTTGATAAATCTATTTTATAATAATATAATAAATTACTTTTCACTCTATTTGCACCCCTCTATTTTTTGAACTTTTTTCAGAAATATCACTGTTTAAAAAAAGAATTTCAAAAATACCACCCAACCCCAAAAAATTCCAAAAATACCACCTTTTTTCAAAAACCGCCACCCCACCCTACAGTTTACACAAAAACCGCTGGGCGGGGGCGCGGTTTTCTATGCAAACTGCGGGGCTAAGGGGCGGTTATAAAAAAAAAAATTGGACCAAACCACTAGGTGGGGTGGTGGTTTGGCCCAAAATCGCCACCCCACCCAGCGGTTTGGTCCAAATTTTTTGTTTTTTCCCGATCAACTCCTAACTTCGGCCGAAACTTCAAACGAACGTAACTTTGCACTCGGGTATCCGATCGTAGTGATTTTTTTTTCATTTCGCATAACTTTTCAAGATCTACAACTTTACTAGGATGAAATTACAAAACAGGAATTAGTTGTGGATATATGGGACCTTGAGAATAACTTTACCTTTACTTTTCACAAATCCATGTACATTTTGAAATTATGATTATCTTAAAAGTTGTAGATCTTGAAAAGTTATGAAAAAAAAATTCATGACGTTCGGATTTTGGAGCACAAAGTTATGGCCGCCCAAAGTTTGACGAAAGGTGAGACCCGGCGGCTTGCGGCTTGCAAGATCTCAAAAAGTTTGCGGCCTCTATATTTTGAATCCGAATAACTTTTTGAGATATTGCAAGCCGCAAACCGTTTGGTCCCGCCTTCGTCTCGAAAAAACGTCATTTTCCACCCCAAACGAGCCTTATTTTTATTTCGTCCAACTTTGGGCGGCCATAACTTTGTGCTCCAAAATCCGAACGTCATGAATTTTTTTTTATTCCGCATAACTTTTCAAGATCTACAACTTTTAACATAATCATAATTTCAAAATGTACATGGATTTATGAAAAGTAAAGGTAAAGTTATTCCCAAGGTCCCGTATATCCACAACTAATTCCTGTTTTGAAAATTTCATCCTAGTAAAAGTTGTAGATCTTGAAAAGTTATGCGAAATAAAAAAAAATCGCTACGATCGGATACCCGAGTGCAAAGTTACGTTCGTTTGAAGTTTCGGCCGAAGTTAGGAGTTGATCGAAAAAAAAATTTGGACCAAACCGCTGGGTGGGGTGGCGGTTTTGGGCCAAACCGCCACCCCCACCTAGCGGTTTGGTCCATTTTTTTTTATAACCACCCTCTAGACCCGCGGTTTGCATAGAAAACCGCGCCCCGCCCAGCAATATTCGTGTAAACCGCAGGGTGGGTGGCGGTTTTTGAAAAAGGGTGGTATTTTTGAAATTTTTTGGGGTTGGGTGGTATTTTTGGAATTCTTTTTTTAAACAGTGGTACATTTGGATTTTTTACCTATTTTTTCATCCATACAACAATTTACCCCTCTACTTGCACCCACCACCAAGTTGTACGCCCAAGCCATTTACCCATCAACTTGCACCCACTTGTTGCCAAACATAGTGTACATGTCTAGACCATATAAAAATGCTCGGGATAGGAGTGCTAAGACCATAATTTACTTTTATATTTAGCTATTTATTACGTAGGTAATTAATTTAGTATTCGGGGATACCATATTGTACATAAATATTTTGAGATTTGGATAAATATACTGAACTCATTTTGAGATTGAGAGTGATTTTAGATAGGGATATCAACAAGTTCGGTTGGGCCTGATTTTCCTATATATCATTCCCAAACCATAGTTTTAAAATCATAACCATCCCCGACATTAAAAGTAGGTAGAGGTGTAATATGACATACCGACACTTACTCGTGTACGGTTCATGTGAAATCCATCCGCACCAACCCAAACCTGCCCAATTATACACATGTATATGTATTTTATTTAAAAAGATCATTATGTATCTCAAAATATTTCATAATTATGATAAATATATAATATTTTCATGAAATTGTATAGTGTTTGACTAATTTTCTTCATTTTAGTAATTTATTGTTTTACTTTTTCACATATATAATGTTAGTATATGTGTAATTGTTAACATGTTGGTTGAAGTTATAAAGAAAAATTATTATCCATGGACTGTGAATATCCGAAACCCGATCATGTATTTTATATGGTTTTGATATTCAACCTAATTCTTATATGGATAAAACCCAAACTATTTTTGGTAAAATAATGAATATGCACTATCCATTCACGTAACATCCTGCATCCTAGAACACTACTCACATTTTAGTAGTCAATTTGAGAGTTGAGTGGAGCTTTACTAAAACAAATTCCTTGTACAATGTCATCAGCAGAACATATTCTAAAAAAATGTCATCAGTAGATCATAGAAAGAATTACCAGCCATTGGAAAGTTTCTCGCTGAGAAAAGATGAAACAGTGGGCCAAACAAAAGCCACAAGAATAATGCAACAAAATATGGAAAGTTGGGTCTGCACTAACAAAGCTCTAATGCTTCTATTCCTTATAGGCCGAGTGGAACTGTAGCATATTCAATATCAGTCATCACAAACACAGCCTGATACTGTCAGTTCCTCTCACGAGAAGCAGATGTAGATATTAAACAACAAGATGGGGAAAAAAAGGGTACGTAGTTGTCCCACCACTGAAACTAAAAAAAACATCCCAATGGTGGACAAAACAAAAGAAGCAAGACTCCCCACTGTTAATGCTGTTGGGTTCTTTTGAAGTCTTTTCTAGATCACAAATGTAGTCACTGTGAAGGGAAAGTAATGGTCTTCCCCAGCACAAACATAGCCAGTGATACCTCCAGAAAGAAGATGGTATTCACCAAAGCTCGGTCTATTCTCCACCCAAAAACTGTGAATCCGCCCGGGTTGGCCATAAGGTACATCACTGCACACACACAAAAACACACCATCCAAATGCAGAGATCAGGACGGGAAAGAATTAATTACAGCAAAGCCAGAGAATTTGGGGCAGAAGGGTTTGGTTTCGAATAGATGTACCGAAAGATTGTCTCTTCTGATATGTAGAAAGTGCAGTATTTGTAGGAATCGGGACATAGTCGACTGCCTCCAAGTCGCTCTCAGAATAAGTATGGTGGAAGAAGTCTGAGGAAAGGGGAACTGAGACCTCCATGCAGTCACCATTGCCGCTTATTGGCGCTTGAGAAGCAGAAGATGAAGTCTCATTGGAGGCACAGGTAGCCATGGAATGCCATCTTGTGGCAACTGACACTATGCCTTGAGCTCTATGTGATACCCTAGTAGCTGCATGTAGGCAAATCACGAGCCCAACTAGTTCAACTATGGCTGTTACCTGATAGGAAAAAGGTACAGAATCAGAAATGAGGCTTTACGGTAGTGTTAATGATAAGTAACAGTACTTACCCCAAAATCAGCACCATTGATGAGATTAATGAGGCCATGATTCCCTGTAGTTTCAACCAAAGCCACGAACAGACTTGCTGTGACGACCAAGAGCTCAAACACGAAGAAAATTCTGAATCTGTGGCTGATCTTGGACATGTAATGGGTGAGACGAATATGTTCTTCTATGTATTCGGACACATCCAAGTCCTTTTCAAGCAGCTTGCCGTAATTGTCAAACCGTATGACTTGAAAGTTGCAGACTAAATTGAACAAAGTGCAGCCCGAGAGGAAGATAACACTGGAGTAAGTCCAGGAAATCGTCAAGGCTATCAGGATAGCAATAGATTGCCATAATGGACCTTGGGGCAGATATAGTAGACGAATGCCTTCTCGAGCTGTCTTCACAAGGAGGCAGGGGAGTAGCCAAACTGCCAATAGGTAAAAAAAATCCTGGACCAAAGAAAGCGAAAACAAACTCTTCAAATCAAACCCACCTATCAATATAATATGCGCGCTTATTCCCCCATCAAACAACATATTGTCAACTTTCAGATCTGCACTTAAGATCTCATAATCCAGAAACTAAAATAACACACTTAACCATATTCCTGGTTGAACCCAAATTGTTCAAAACTAAAGGCAATTTGAAAGGGAAAATTGAGCCTACCCATCAAGCTAAACTGATAAATAACCCAAAAAAGAGCACATCAAGTAATCAACAAAAGGATCGAACATTTCAACATAATGTCAACACTGTGATACCTCTCCAGTTTTCAATTCCAGGCGATTCTAATAATACCAAATCGAACCATTAAAGTCAGCTAAGCAACTCAGTAGCCGAATTGATTCTCGAATCACCAATTATTATAAGTAGAAAATAGGAGATCAAATCAATCACTGAACAGAATCGCAAGAAACGAGGACTGATGAAGCGAAAGAGAAAGTGAAAAAAGAGGGATAAAAGGAGCAACCGCGGCAGCTTACATTAATTTTCTTGGCATACTCGCTGTCCAGCTGGGTGCAGTGGCCATGGGAGCGATCCACAAAGAGGAACTTCCTGACGCCGTACTTGCGCAGATTGTGGGATATGCAGAGGAGAGAGAAAGCAGCTACCAGAGACTGAAAGGCCAAAATCTCAAGCTCGAAGCTCTTGATCTCGTACATATTAGGGGTGGAAGAGTAGAAGTAGTGGAAGATGAAGAGCGGGAGAGCAACGGCTACGAGGAGAAAAGAGAGCCATGAAAGCAGGATGGTGAAGATGGAGTTCTGGCAGAAGCCGAAGATTTTGAGGAATGTCTCGAGGCGATTCAGAGATTTGGAGACATGGGTGTCGTAGCTGCATTCTTCTTCCTCTCGTATCTCCAGTAGCCTGGCCTGTGACGATGATAACGTGGCTTCCTGCTGCTGCTCGGAAAACGCCATTGGCGTTGGGCGGGGAGAGGGAAGGGAGGAAGAGGGGAAGCGTAGAGCTTAGAGAAGAAATAGAAAACTGGAGCAAACATGGGTGGGAAAAATAGACATATTTAACTGTTGGAAAGGCAAGGCAGAGTGAGCTGCTGCCGCTTTGCTTCTTATTTTTCCTTTGATACTAATTTTTCTTAATAATGTCGATCAATTTTTCTATAATGGGGAATAATATGTATCTATGATGGGCGTCCTATAAGGAAAAAGAAAATGATGGGCGAAGCTGCTGTTGGTTTTAAGACTTCGACTGATGGGATGTGATAATACTTATGATGATAAAACAAAAAAACGTGTAGTCAATAGTGGGGATGGGATTGGTGCGGTCAAACCACTTTGAATAGTACCTAATCGGTTTCGTGTCAAATCAAACCACACTAATAAGTTAACGGTCTAAGTTGTGGTATGTTCTTGATTTGAGATTTCGCGTTTGGTTAACTAAAAAAATCAAACCGCTAAGATATTTTTCGATTTTTAAATCGTCGAAGAGAAATGGATCTAACTTTTGAGACATCACACTTCAACCAACTTTTCTTCATCTTCGACTTTGAAACCCTGACACTTAACTGTCTATACTCTACAATTTTTCCAGGTTTGATTTTGTCGACAACCATATCCATCTCTGCAATTTCCTCTACCTCGATAGTGGCCAACCCAAAAGACTCTTCATGAAACCAAGCCAACAAGTTCACTTCCTGCTGCTTATTGTTGTATCTCATTTTTTTCCTTCTCCATTTGGGTCTCAATGTTATTCTTAAGCTCACAAACACAACTCAAGACGAACATTGTGATATAAATTTTTTTAATTTGGACATAATTTTTTCCGTCATTAATTAAATATGACGTCATTAATGACGGAATCATAATAATATTTCAGAAGATCATGACTCATCACATATTTCACATAATGAGTTGTACCATCAATTATTCACCCAACTTTAACAATATTGTGACTCAATAAATCTTTACATGTTTCTATAAATGGAGGCTAAACTTTGTCGTTCTATTCATCCCAACCATTCAACCTTCTTCATTCTCACAATTTCACACTTCAATCTACATTCCACCAAGCTCTTTCTGCATCATGAGTTCCCCTAATAGAGAAACTGAGGAGAGGCAGCAGGAAGATGATGATAGGAAATGGGAATATGAGTTTCAGCTTGACTGTGAATGTCAACAGATGATGGGGGTGGCAGGAGCCTTCCTGTTCCAACAACAATCATCCTCATCTCGTCATCTTTCACGATCATGCAAATCGTGTTTCGTAACAGGGTAGAAACACACCAACGCTTGATGCAACAATATTTCATCCCAAACCCAACCTACGACGTTAGGTTCTTTAGAAGGAGATTTCGGATGCCCCTATCCTTGTTCAACCAAGTCAAGACATACATTGTTCAACACGACTCCTTTTTCAAACAAGGGCAAGATGTTGTGGGTCGCTTCTTATTCTAATCAGAACAAAAGATTAATACTGTCCTCCAGATGCTTTCCTAAACAAGGGCAAGATGTTGCGACTCCCTAGATGAGACCTTTGATATGGGCGAGACCACCGTACTTCAGTGCGTGCGTAAATTCTGTAATGCCATCATCTGCATCTATGACCCTGAGTACTTACGAGCACCAAATGTGGAGGATCTTTGCAGCGTGCATGATCACATCGAGCGGCGTGGCTTCCCGGGTATGATCGACTCAACCGTCTGTATGCACTGCGGGTTGAAAAATTGTCCAATGGCGTGGCAAGGCCAATATACTGGATACAAGGGGAAAACAACCTATGTCCTCAAATCTGTAGAGTCATACGACACGTGGATTTGGCATGCCTTCTTCGAAAATGCTGGGTCAAACAACTTGAACACTCTTGGAGTCTCTTCACTTTTCATGACGTAGTCAGATGAAATCTTCCAAAAGTCAGGTATACGGTAAATGGTACAATTTACAATCAATGTTGTTACTTGACTGACATGGTTTATCCTCAATGGTCTACATTTGTGAAGACCATTAGCAATTCTAGTAACTAGAAAAAGAAGTTGTTCGCAAATTGGCAAGAGTCATACCACAAGGATGTTGAGAGAGCCTTCGACATTCTACAAGAAAGATGACCCATTGTTAGAATAACAGGACGGTTTTGGGATTTGCAAACACTGAGAGAATTTATGATAGCATGTGTTATTCTGTACAATATGATAATTGAGGATCAACGATATGAGTTTGGAGAGGAACAAGCAGAGGGAATTGAATATGAGACTAATCTGGATGTCTCATTGGACCACCAAATCATGACACTCCGACCCTCGTAGAGTATATGATAAGTCACAATAGGATTCGTAATCGTGATGGGCATAACACGTTGAGAGAGGATTTGGTTGAGCATCTGTGGGCAAGAGAAGGTGGAGGGAGTAGAATTATGTTGTGCCTTTAAGTTTGATTGTGCACTTCAATTAATTGAATTTGTGTTGTGTGCTAAGTTTGCTCGATGTATTTTCCTTACCTAATCACTGTATTTTCCTTAATCAATGTATTTATCCTTTAAATTTATTATGTATTTTCCTTATTTGATCAATGTATTTTCCCTTTTTTTGATCTCTCAATAAAGAAAATAGTTGCATTAAATGAAACACACTTACAATAATGAAAAGGGTACATCAAGGGTGAACAAAAACATAATTAAAAGGATACATCAAGGGTGAATTAAAAGTACTCAAAGCAAACATAATTAAAATAAAGCACATGTCAACAATAAATCAAACAACACGAACAAGGGATTGGTCTTGAACCTGGAGGGTCCAGGTTCGAATCCCTTCAATAGTACCTAATCACAAAAAATAACCTATATCACCCTTATCTAAAAAAAAACAATAAATCAAACAACTTATTGAAGATTACAATTCGGAAGCATAAGTGTCATCATATGGGCTACTGCCATATCCTCCCCGTGTATAACTTGGAGGTGGTTGGTATGTAGACATAATTGGATTTCTTTGAGCTTGGTACCATACTTTTTGTTGAGAATCCAATTGAGCAAGATCTTGAAGCATGATCTCTCGATTGCACTTGTTTTTTTCCCTTGCTTCCTTCGCATGCTCTCGTTCCTTCCTACTTACAACCAATCTTGCATGTGTTGCCGAGCTTGCCGCCATGTCCACCACGATCTTTTGAGAAGAATCCAAGGTAGAAAAATCACCACCTCCACTTCTCTTTCGCTTTTGTGGATCTCGACCTACGGGACGGTTGAGAACGTTTGGAGAAGCATGTGCTTGAAGGCTAGGGCTATCTTTTTCATCTTTTGACATGACCGATGGAGACCCATCCATTAGAGTCCAACATTTTCCTAGTTTCCCTTCTTGCTTGGTGTCCGCCATAAAAATAGCCTTTGCGTGCTCCATCTAAGCAATATATGAAAAACAAAATAGTATACACGGTTAAAAAATAGAAATTACAAAATTTAAATACTAATAATTATATTAACATATAGGTAAGTTAAAAATAACAAATTTGAAAATCAGACCATGCCTCACATAAATTATTTTTAGTAATTTAACTAAAAACACATACATAATTAAAAACGAAACACAATGCTAGCATTTGCACTCGTCCATGCCGAATTCCACTTCCCACATGCATAGTTGTTGGTCTTCCATTGACTTTTCAAGGAGGCATTGATATGGGGCACAAGAAAGCCTTTTGTACGATATAAAGCTCCAACTCTTTGTCAAAATACCGCTGAGGCTTGATGATAACCGATTGTTGGATCTTGAGAAACTTCAATCCAAGCCTCGCACAAAACTTTGTTTTCAGGCTTTGTGTAGTTTGGCTTGCCATCGGGGTTGTAAGGAGCCATGAACGCTATTTTATAGAGTTTGGGAAGGAGATAATTTTTTGTTAAGATAGATGAAGAAAAATTGGAGAAGTGAGGGAAGAATGTGAAGAGTGAATGGTATTTATAAAGTTGGAAAAATTATGGCCGTTACAAAATATGATCATTGAAAAATATGACAGTTGAGATTCAATTCTGACTATTAGATGTCATCTAAGTTTCATAAAACCCTAAAACCTAAAACAAAACCCTAAATAAATATAAACAGAAACAAGAAGGAAAAGGGGGGCAGGCGCATGGCCCGGCTCCCTTTCAGGCGCTCCTGGCCTCCCTTCCCCCTCCCCCCTCCTTCATCTGTCGGCTTGTGTGGGGATTTTCACCTACATTTTCCTTTTTTCCCATCTTTCCCATATCTCCCCCCCCCCCTCTTGTGAACCATAACAAAAAAAGATCCATATTTCCTCTCTTACCCACCTTTGATGTGGGTGATCTAAGGTACTAGGGGTTAAACCCCCCCCCCCCCCCCCACCCCAAACCCTATATTTAGATTTTGAATGTATATATAATTGTATTAGGGTTTATGAATGAATGTGTTTGTTTTAGTGAATTTATGCTTAATTATGCTTGGGTAAGTCGCCCAATTCTTCCCTACTAGCCTACAGCTGAGTTAAACTAGGTGGGAATATTAGGGTTAGACTGGGTAGCGCCAACTGGCAGATTAAGGATAGACGAACGATCTTTGGGTTCCTTAGTGGACGTGGCGACCGAAAACCTACTAGAGGAATGCCTTTCTATAACAATGCTAGAGAAGTCGCATGCGTTCTGATCGAAGTACTTCTCTAGTATGCAAGATAAAATTAACCTATCGAGAGGAACTACGGGAGCAACTCTATTATGTAAACTTAAACTAAGGTGACATTGGGTCTTTGTGGGCCATGTTAAGAGGAGGGAGAGTATTTATTGAAATTCCCATATTAGAGAGTTTTGCATTCTATCCTATAAGCCCAACATAGCTAGTCATTTACATTATGAACCAAGTCTATGGCAAGGGTGACACCCTGAAGTACCTTGCTTTTATCTTTGCTTTTGCCACCGCTACAAAGAGGTTTTATACGATTGATATATTTGTGGAGAATGCCGCAAACAAGTTTCAACTTTGGAGGCCGATCAAAACAATCATCAAGAAACACTTCAAAACTTTGAAGCACAATTGAGATCTATGGCTCAATCTCTATCAATAAGACCTCAAGGAGATTTAACGGGTAATACAGAACATAACCCGTAGGAAGGATGCCATGCAGAAACTCTTAGGAGTGGCTGACCATTGAAGGAATTTCCAAGATCAACCCCCCGAGCACCTCTAAGGGAAGCCCAAAGAGAAGTTATTCAAGCAGAAAAGAGTGTTGAAGAGGAAGTGATAGTCCCCACCAAGATTAATGTCGAAGAAGTCGAAGTCTAAAAGAAGCCTCAAGCATCCGAATACATTCTAACGACACCATATCCTAAGAGATTGTTTGAAAGTGATATACATCATGAGTGTGCTCAATGGAAGGATACCCTTAAGCAACTTAAGGTAACCGTTCCTTTCTTGAAGATGGTTATGAAGATTCCCAAATATACTAAGTTCTTGAAGGAAATCTTATCGGGAAAGAGAAAATTGGAGAAGTTTCTATGGTTTCCATGAGTGAGTTTGCTTTTACATCAATTGGTTGTGAAGGCATGCCACCAAAGATGAGAGATCTAAGAGTATTCACTATTTCATGTACCTTCGGTGACAAGATCTGTTGGAATCCTGTAGCCGATTTGGGTTCGAGCATTAACATTATGCCTACGAGAATCTATAAAGTGATCGACCTAGGACCACTCACTCCTACAAGTATGAAGATTGAACTTGTTAACTGGTCTACTCCTACGCCTTGTGGAGTAATCGAGAACGTGTTGGTGAGATGCGCTCGTTTTGTTTGCCCCCGTTGACTTTGTTATTTTGGGCACGAAAGGATGTATCCACGCACCAATTATTCTTGGAAAACCCTTTTTGGCTACGGCAAGAACCATCATCAATGCTAGTGAAAGTTGAATCGTCTTAAGGTTCACCGAGGATGAGATTCCTTACAAGATTACTTCACTTTACAACTCTCACAGTATTGCAACTGGGAAGATGTGGAGAAAGATTGTGAATGGGTCACACCTCCTCCAAAACCACCTTCATACCTAAAGCCCCAATATTGAGTGGTTGAACTTGGTGTGTCATATAGATTCGATGGATACAAGAAATTATGAGAAGGGCAATTCAAAGAAGACTAGTTTGCCCAAGTCCAAAGAAATCCAAGAGTTTCTTCTCATTTCTCATCAAACCAAGTTAGATCGGAAGAAACTTAGAATGTTCGAGTTTGAGGCAAGGTATCCTAAGGCCAAGATGCGAGAAAAAACTTAGAAGAACGATGGAAGTAAACTACTTTCCAATAAGGAAAATGAAGAATATGGGGAGTGATACAAGCCACTCACAGATGAAGATTTTGGAGCAAGGAAGCTTAGTATCTTCAAACATCATCAATCGGCCAAACAATAATTTGGGTCACTAGCCACGGACCAGGATACAGAGAGACTTCATGGTCTTTAACTTGGGCTTCAACATTACTTTGACTACTACGATCCATCAAGTGAGGAGGATAAAATCCGGCGAAAATACTTCAAAGGCGCGCTAGTTGGGAGGCAACACAACACTTCGATTTGCGTATCTTTCTCTTTTCGTTTGAATAGCTTGTTAAATTTAGGGATTGACTAGTTTAGATGATGAATGATGGAACTTTAGTCCTTGCCATGACTTAATTATTTGAACGAACGTTGTAGTTGATAATTGATATCCTTAGGTGTAGTTGGAAAATTGATCATTGCCTGAAAAGGAGCGATCGTGAGGTTAACGATCGCAGCGGGGGATCTTTGGACCCCAGGCCATGATCTAGCCCGTCCCTATTCAAGGAGGAGTGTACTATTCATTTCATGGGCTTTCTCTTCCCAAGATCCTTCAAATCTCCTACACCATGTTCTTAAAGCCCTTTTCAAAATTTTGAGCTTCCTTCATCTTACCTCATTTTCAAGCATCGTTATTGAAGTATTGCTCAATTTCTTGGATTAATATCATGTCTCCAAGCAAGCTAAGCTACTATTTCCCATTTTTCTATGATTTGAGTACTTTAGCTAGGTCAAAATGTGTTTGAATGCAAAGTGAACATGCATTGGTCCTTTTTAGGGCTATGGCATGACTTCTTTTTGTAATAGGCGGATTAATAATTATGCCTTTGTGGGCTAATTTGAC